TTTTTATATTGCATTTAAACTAATTCTTAGAGATCAGAATTTGGCTTAAAGAAAAAAGTATATACAATGTGATAAATACTTATTAGTATGGGATGCTGGTGACATGAAAACCACTGCTTTTAAAGGAAAGAGATTCAGGAGCCATTTTGAGTAACCATGGCCCAGGAATATAGATTTAGGTTACTTCAAATGCCATGTTCCAACATGGAAGCAATTTGGGACAGGATCTTAATCTTTTATCTTACAGTGTGACCCACGCTACTGTCTCACTCATGTAGTCCACTAACTGTGTAGCCTCTAACAGTGATCCTCCTTACCTAAATCTCCAGAGCAGTTGGATTTGCAGGTCTGGCTCTTTTCTTTTTCTCTATTTTTTCAAATTCTTATGCATACGGAGTCTAAACTCTGTGTAGCTCAGAGTTTAGAATTTGAATTTGAATTTCTGGTTTTCCTCCTTCAGTCTCCCTAGTGCAGGGAATGTAGATATATCCCACCATACTTGGACATGTCTTACCCCTCCCCTTCCCTTTGTATTTCTGGTATGGTTTTGATCTCCAGCTCCAGCTGGCCTTGACTGGATGATCTTCTGCCTCAGCCTACAGAGTGTTAGGATTTTAGGTGTTGGAATTATTGCTACCTGCTCCACCCCGAAGCGCTGGGACTCAGTCCTAGTGAATGCTAGACAAGTATTGAAGAGTTAAGCTATATGCATCTCCAGCCTCAGTTCAGAAATCTTGACTTTTGTTCCTTTTCATTTGTCATGAAATTTTCTTCAGAATATACCAAATAGGCACCCAAATTGGATGTCACTGCCTACTATGTATACAAGCCTGTATTTTGTTTAGATAAAATTTTGTTTGGATAAATTGCCTCCTTGGTGTTGCACATGCCCCCTTTCTTCACAGCAACAAAATGTGAGCAAGATTACTTTTTTTTAAATTTAATTTTATTTTTTTTAATTTTAATCACAGGTCATTCACTTGTATCCCAGCTGTAGCCCCCTCCCTCTCAATCCCACCCTCCCTCTCTCATCTCCTCCCTGACCCTTTCCAAGTTCATTGATAGGGGATGTCCTCCTTCCCTTCCATCTGACCCTATAGCTTATCAGGTATCTTCAGGACTGGCTGCAATGTTCTTATCTGTGGCCTAGCAAGGCTGCTCCTCCCTTGGGGGGAGGGGGGAAGAGATCAATGAGCCATTCCTTGAGTTCATGTCAGAGATAATCATTGTCTCCCTTACTAGGGAACCCACTTGGATACTGAGCTACCATGGGCTACATCCGAGCAGGGGTTTTAGGTTATATCCATGAACATGCATGGTCCTTAGTTGGAGAAACAGTCTTATAGAAGACCCCTGTGCCCTGATATATTTGGTCCTTGTGGAGCCCCTGTCCTCTCTAGGTCATACTAACTTCCCTTTTTTCATATGATTCCCTGCACTCTGCCGAAGGTTTGGTTATGAGTCTCAGCATCTGCTTTGATACAGTGCTAGGTAGAGTCTTTCTGTGATAGGCTCCTGTCCTATTCCTTGTTTTCTCCTAGTTCCAGTGTCGATCCCCTTTGTCTTTCTAAGTGAGGACTGATAATCTTACCCCTGGTCCTCTTTCTTGTTTATCTTCTTTAGGTGTACAGATTCTAGTAGGTTTATCCAATTTTATAGGTCTAATACCCACTTATAAGTGAGTATATACTGTGTGTGTCTTTCTGCTCTTGGGATACCTCACTCAGGATGGCAAAATTACTTTTTCCTAACCTTAGAGAACTATTATTTTCTTGAATGGTGTGAAAAAAATGTTTGAGTTCCAGGAACTGGAGATTTTAAGGGGTAGAAGTCCAAAACTACTACCTGGCATACTCAGATAAACTCAGATTTCCTTTTCTACTCTTTTTCTCACTCACGTTTCTCTGTCTTGTTTTCAGTCATATTTGCCTCCTTACTACCTCTTGAATAACAGAGCCTAAGAGACTTTTTCCTTGCCTGAAATATTCTCCTTCCAGATACTTACCTGTTTATTTCTCTTCTTGAGGCGTCTCCTGGATTTTATTTCTCTAAACCACCTTCCTGTGCCCATTTTGAAACAAGACCCCTCTCAGTTGGCTCTGATTTTCCTTAGTACTTACTATTGTAAATCAGAACTCATGAAAAGCAGCTTTGTCTTCAGAGACTGATTGACTGATTAGAATTTCAATACTGTGGAGAGGTTGGAATGTTGCAGGGCCAGAAAGTAGTTAACCTTATCTTAGGCTCCTTTTAGTTACCTGCACCAGGTAGCCATTCATTTCTTCTTTTTGTGCCAGAACTGACCTCTTGTGACTAACAGATAAAATCCTTTTGGAATCTATTAATTTAGATTCCACCAACCAAATCCTTTTGGAATCTATTAATTTAGATTCCACCAACCAAATGCTAAGAATGTCATCAGATAGCCTATCAGGCCTATAGAAAAGCTTCCTTTATCTTTCTGTAACAGCCTCTCTGATGTAACCATCAATGTATTTTCAACTTGCCTTGATTTATGATTCTCTTTTTTCTGTAAAACTATAAAACTCATGAAACTGCTTCCATGTTGGGACATGGAATTGGCGTAAACTAAATCTGTGTTCTCTGGGCCAGAGTCACTCAGAATTGTTCCAGAATAAACTATCTCTTATTCCCTTTAAGAATAAAGCTGCATTGTATGCATTGACAGTATTTACTTCCTGTTTTTGTCATTACCTTAGTTCCAGGACTGTTTTGTTCTTTGAATGCCTGTTGAACTCAAGTTAGGAATTCAGTCTCTGTTGAATTGCTAGCTGCATTTTCAGTCTCTTCAATGGCTGCTGCGTCTGCTGAGAGAAATACCAAGGCCACTCTTATACTTTGGCTAGAAGAAAAGGAATATTTCATTTCATACTTCTTTATTATATTTGTACAGCAGATGTGAACAAGACTATATGCCAACCTGCCTTTCTTTTCAGGGTTTGATAACTCAGTGGCTCCTGGGAAGTAGCAGCATTGAGAGAGACAGCTTGCTGTCTATAGTGTGGGTAGCTCATTGAGTCCTATATTGCACAGACAGTTGGGAACTCAAAGGTAGGAAATATGCAGAGGGTGCTTCAAGGGAAGGAATATTTGAAGTCACAAAGAGCTTAACTTGTTTGAGAAACTTAACGTTAAGTACTGTTAGAAGGTAAGGCTTTCTATATTGGAGTATTTTTGTATCAATGAATTGAAACAACCAAGGGCTTGCAAAAATTTCCATTTGGTTAAAGATGTAGCTTAGTTGATAGAGAACTTGCCTAGAGGCTTTGACTATGATTACCAGTACCACATAAACAATGTGTTCATATGCCTATAATTTTACCTTATAGGCATATGGATCACAAGTTCAAGGTCATCTAGAACTACATAACAAGTTCAAGTCCAGACATGGCTATATAAGAGGAAAATTGTATCATCATAGTTTATTCCCTGTGTTGGATAACATTATATATCAGTTTGACACAAGCTAAAGTCATCTGTGAGCAGGAAATTTCAATTAAGAAATGCTTCCAGGGCTGTCAAAAAGCCTATAGGGCATTTTAATTAGTGATTGATGGTGAAGGGCCCAGCCCATTGTGGATATTGCCTTCCCTGAGCTGGTTAGTCCTAGGTTCTAAACAAAAGCAGGCTAGTAAGCCATGATGAACAAGCCAGACAGCACCACTCCTCTTTGGCCTCTGCATCATCTCCTGCCTCCAGGTTCCTGCTCTGTTTTAGTTCCTTTCCTGACTTCCTTTGACTATGAGCTGTGATGTGGAAGTGTAAGCCAATCAAACCTTCCTCCCCAAGTTGCTTTTGTTACAGTGTTTCGTTCATCACGGGAATAGTAATCCTGAGTAAGACATTACCTAAACAATATAAGATCAATTATTGGCTTTCCTTTATATTGTAATGGATATTAGTAATACAGAAATGATTTTAAATTATAGAAGGATGTGTGTAGGTTATATGCAAGCTGTAAGCCATTTTACATGAAGTATTTGAATGTCCTTGAACAGTGATATCCTTGGGGGAGGATCCGTTATCCTATGGATGCCTGCGATGAGTCAGTGATTGTTTTGCAAGGACCAGATTTCATGATGCTTCTAAATATTTACGAGTTAGCTATATAGAATGAGTCTTTCAAAATTATTTTTGTTGTGTTATATATGTGTGTGTATATGTGTATGTGAATGTATGTATGTCTATGTGTGTATGTAGTGTTTATAGGCATTTGTGTGCCTCTTCGAGGAAAGGGACCAGGCAGGAGGACATCAGGTCTCTTGTGGTATCATGTTCCACCTTTTTCCCTTGAGAAAGGATCTCGTAGTTGAACCTGGAGCTAGGCTGGCAGCCGGCAAATCCCAGTGATTATTCTGTCTATGCCTCCTCCCACAATGCTGGGGTTATAAAACATGACCATGATTGGCTTTTATCATGGATACTGGAGTTGCATTGAGGACTTCAGTAAATGTTCTTATCACAATAAATGTTCTTATCAGTTGAGTGAGTTCCTCTGGTACCCCTATTCTTGAGTTCTGTCCTCACTTTCTGGTGGTTTTGCCATGTGATTTGTTATAGGAAAGCATTTTTATAAAAAACTGGAAGCATACTTTAGCTCTGTGCTAAGGATATGAACACTTTCCATGCAGGATATATGCTAGGCCTTTATATATATAAATGCATGTATGAGTGAGATAGTAGAATTTGTATATCTGCGGTAGACTGTACTTCTAGAAAATTAATTTTTACTTAGAAAGGTTTCATGGAAGTCAGCAATACAGTCAGGTCAGTGATTCTGTGCTCAGAATAGGAGTGTGTTAGAAGCCTGAGGCTTCTTTTTCCTGGAGTCCAGGAAAAGATGTGGAAGTCTCAGAGAGGTGAAGAGTGGTCATTAACTAAAGAGTTCCTTAGGTAGACACATGCATGCTATTTTGTGAAGGCTACTTACTAAACACAACTCCAGTAATACATTGTTGATGGCCACATTTTCTCTGCAGAGACATCTGTAACCATCATGGAAGAGGTAGAGGTGGAGAGTCCCCTGAATCCTAGTTGTAAGATAATGACCTTCAGGCCTTCCATGGAGGAGTTTCGGGAGTTCAACAAATACCTCGCGTACATGGAGTCTAAAGGAGCCCACCGAGCAGGTCTTGCCAAGGTGACTATACTTAGACTTGTCCTAAAAAGTATCATTTGACTTTTAAATTACGTTCATAGTTTTTCTTTCTTTCAATGGAATGTGTCTGCTTTTCTTGTTAACTTTCCTGGAACACTTCATTTTTTTTTAAAAAAAGTCTTTGTTTTCTCTAGATTATTTATACCAGGCTCTAACTTCACTCTCTCTTTCATTCTCTCGCTCAATATATCAAGGCTTCCAGAGGTGGGAGGGTATTAATTTTCATCAATTTCTGACAGATGTTTCCTTGTATTGTTCTTTTGCTGTTGTTTAAAACAAACAAACAAACAAACAAAAAACAATGGTTATACTGGCTTCTATGTGAAAAATGAGTTTGGTGTTAAGGGCAAGTGTCCATAGGAAGTTTTATTAGGGATAAGTCTTTTTTAGGGATAGTGTGCTTATCTATTGAAGAGGTGTTGGTAGTTTAGAATAGTTAAAAAGAGAAGCCATTTTTTAATTATGTTTATGATTCTTGTTTTTAAAGATATAGTATTATCTTTAAAAGATATAATGGTAAGGTGCCAAAGACTACATTGCAGGTTCAGATCATAGATCATATTTAGAGGTTTGAAGGAACGATTGTCAGTATAATTTATCTTATTTATGCCAGGAGATGTATCTTTTTAGAACATAATAGAAATGTATTTTTCCCTAGGAAACTTTTGTTTTGTTTTGGCCTGTTAATGCTTAGATTTTGTTTGTGATTTAATTTTCTGTAGACAGTAATTTCATTAAACAAATGCTTGAGACTGGCAGAGCCTGTTGCTAAGCTCATCCATTTCACTGGACTTGTGGGATGGGCTTTCCATATCTGTTGTGAAGGTAAAATGGTATGAGCAATTGTTAGCTGAACAGGGAAGTTCAGAACTACAGGTATTGGAGTACAGATGCCCTGATCCATACTTGAGGCTGTTAGAAACCTGTTCGTGGAGTTTTGCTGCCAGAGGTCATTCCTTTTGTTATTTGTCTGCTGCCAGTAGTTGTCCTCTGACTTCCATATTTGTGCTATGCACTTCCCATGTCTCTGTCCCCCTTACAGCTCTCATATACAGAATAAATAAGTCTAAAAGTTGTTTAGAATTTGCTTTTTCAGTTTTGGTGCCTCAGAAATTTTCAGATAACCATTTGAGATAGGGGTGGGGAAATCATTTTTCAGTTGAATAGAAGGTGTTATTATTATTTTTTTTCCAGTCATTTGGCACACATACTTAGTCATGAACATGTAATGATTTATAATGCCTAATCAAAAATTTGGGCTTTATTTGCATGGAGAGAAGCTGGAAAACACTCTCTCCTTTCTTTCCAGATATCTTTGTGTGTGTGTGTTTATGTGTATATGTATATGTGTATATATTTGTATCTCTCTATCTTTTTTTTTCTTTTTGAGACAGATTACTCATATATCTCAGTATTCATAACTGACCTTTGTATGATCAGTTGGTCCCCTTTTTGTTTCTTGAAAACATCCCTTGGTCCACTGAGATTAATATACTTTTTGTCTGGTGTTAAGGTGACATACTTGGTAACTAGATAGGAAACAGCAGCAACCCTCATGAGGGAGCTGAAGGCACACTGACTACACCTATAATAGTGTGTAACAGAATAAAATTAATGACAGTTACAAGTACACCTGAGTCCAGTGTACCCCTCCCTCAACATAAGACTCACTGATAAAGGCAAGAGTTCTATAATAATGTGTTTTTTTGTTATTTTTTTTTATACTAGGATGACAGTTGAACTGCTTGCTTCTGAACAGTTTTTGGCTATATTTTCAGTCACATAAGTTATGTTTAATCTAGTCTCATTCCTATTCCGTAAGCTTAAGTAGTTTCAAGTGAGCAGAACTTCAGTAAACCACATTACTTGGTTAAAATCCAGATACACATATGTAGATGTTTTTCTTTGGGCCTTTCCTTTGGGAACAAAGGTACCCTGTGGTCCTTTCTTAATGTGTTATTGACAACATTTAATGTATTTGTCTTAACTTACCATTTGAGAACAATAGTTGAGTACTTTCAATAATAGCGAGTTTTTATTATTTTATTTTATTTTTTATTTTATTTTTTATTTTATTTATTTTATATTTATCCAAATCTTGTTAGATACTCCTGGCTGGCCTTGAACTTTCAATTCTTCTGCCTCACTGATCTATGATTCCAAGTACTGGGATGACAGGTGTGTGTGACTCTGTGTAGCATTGCTATCAAATAACATTGACTATCTGTATTCAAGTTGGGAAGTTGACAGTTTCTTTAAGGATAAAATTTGTTTTGTGATAGGGATATCATGAGGAACTTCTAAAAATATGAAATGTATGATGCTTGTCCCTTGTAGTACTTATATACATAGATTGTATTAAAGCAAACATTATACTTCATAAACACAAGAGTGCAGATATGTACCTGTGCCTACAAAATGAAGATAGCACAAGCATTGTTCTTCCTTTCCAGTTTATAGACAGCATCTGGCTTCAATGTATGTAGTGGTATGCATATTTTATCTGGAAATGTCTGGGTTTGGGGAAATAGTGACATAAAGTATATATTCTGTCTTGATATACTCATGAAGGTAGTCTATATATTTGATAGAAATAAAGCAGAAAATAGGGTTCCTTTACTTTTACTCATTAAATGTAAAGGTGTTACTTTGAAATTGTTTAATGACCATATATGTTGTTTTTATTTCCAACAGTGTAAGGTAATTTGATAATTAAAGATTTAAAATGGAACTGATGGGATGATTATGTAGGAAAAGCACTTGCTTTACAAACCTTATCTGCTGATTGACTGTTCAGTCTCTGGATCCCATGGATGGTGGAAGGAGAGAAGTAATTACTGAAAGTTGTCTTCTGATCTCAACTTGCATACCACTTCCTTTCCCCATGCACATTAATAAAATCAAATCAAATCTAAAATTAATTCAAAAGAAAATATTTGGTGTAAAGGCTTGCATTTGTCCTTCTTCCTTCCTTTTTTTTTTTTTTTTTTTTTTTTTTTTTTTTTTTTTTTTTTTTTTGAGATGGGGTTTTCTGTGTATACCTGTCTGGCCTGGAATTCACTATGTGTAGACTAAGTTGTCCTCAAACTTACAACTGATAGTCTTTGTAATAATTTTAATTTTGTTCCCTATTTTTAGAAAATAGTTTAATTATATTTCTGGGAGTCTGAAGAGGTGGCTCAGTGGCTAAAAGCACTCCTGTTTTTGCAGAGGATCTGGGTTTAGTTCCCAGTACCACATGCTAATATACGTCATCCATAAGTTCAAGGACAACAGGCATTCATGAGGTACACATATGTGCATGTAGGCAACACACACACTTAAAATAAATATTAAAAGAAACTTTTAAGAAAAAATGAAATATTCCTGGAACACTAATTTATTTTTATTATTTACTCATTTTTATTTTTAAACATAAAAATTTTATTTATTTTACTTTATTGTATGTGTGATGTGAGACTACATACAGTGGTTGGACAGCTTTTGTAAGTCATTTATGTCTCCAAGGATTAAACTCAGGTGTAGCTTGAAAGTATGTGTGCCACTGGTGTGTAGGAGACCTCAGAGGTCAGAGGAGGGCATTGAATTACTTGGAACTCAGTTACAGAAAGTTGTGAACTGCCATTTAGGTGATGGGAGTCTTCTGCAAAAGCAGTAAGTGTTCTTTTTCCACTGAGATATTTCTCGAGCTGCTATTTTTATGTTTTAATTTTGAGACAAGATCTCTTGTATCTCAGGCTGGTGGCCTTGACCTTGCTATGTAGCCAAGAATGCTTCTACTGTCTGAATGTTTATTACAGGCATGTACTGCCATGCCAATTTTATGTGGAACTGGAGCTAGAACCCCAGACTTGGTATATACATGATCTCTCTCTTTCTCCTTCCCTTCTTCCCTCCTTCTCTTTCTTTCTTTTTCTTTTTTTCAAGATAGGATATGTCGTGTAGCCTTGGCTGTTCTGGAACTAACTACGTAGACCAGTCTGGCCTTGAACTCATAAAGAGATCTGTCTGCCTCTGTCTTCTGTTTGCTGGGATTAGAGATGTGCACTACCACTGCCTGCCTGGCTGTATGCTTGATATTTCTTATTCTTTTAAGATTTATTTATTTATGTTTGCATGTGTTGATTTCTGAGTATATGCTGTGTCTTTGCAGGTGTCTGCAGAGGCAGATGAGGGTGTCAGATCTCTTGGAGTCACAGGCATTTGTGAGCTTTCTTTTGTGGGTGTTGGGTACCAATTTCAAGTCCTTTGGAAGAGCAGCAAACTGCTGAACTATGTCTTTAGCATTCAAAGCTGATAATGTAACACTATATTCTTGACTTCCTTTGATATGTTACCAAGATTATAATATAGTATCTTTAAAATAAATTATGTTTGTTTTCGGTGTGAGTTTGTACATATGAGTGCAGGTAGGAACCTGTTCAGAGGAACTGGATCCCCTGGAGCTGGAGTACTTTTACCTTCTCAGCCATCTCTCAAGCCTTCCACTTTTACACTTTTAAACCTCTTTAAAACTAGTATTGATGTGGGCTGGGGTGATATTAAGTACTTGCTGCGGAAACATGAAGACCTGCGTTCCGATTCCCAATACCATGTTAAAAACAAGCCTGGTGCTCTTATACATTTTCATAACCCTAGTTCTGGAAAGGTTAAGAGAAGAACTCTGGACTCAATGAAAAACCCTGTTTCAACATAAAATTAAAAAGGTGGATGGCAATAGAGGAAAACATTTCATATCAACCTCTGGCCTGCACATACACATGTGTATTTAAATGCATATACACAAACACAGAAATAGGCAGACATATTATATACACAGAACCAAAACCTAATATTTAGAGGTGCATAGGCACATAAGTTGGTTACTAATAAATATTATAGTCGTTGCCTATTGAACAAGGATAGATGTATTTGGAAAACGGTACATGGAGGACCTCAGAGGTGGTGGCAGCATTCTGTTCCTTATACCTCCATAAGTGGGTTCCCTCTGTTTTGGTTTCTTTTTTGTTTTGTGTTTGTTTGTTTTTTGACATAGGGTTTCTCTGTGTAGCTTTGGCTTTCCTGGAATTCACTCTGTAGATCAGGCTAGCTTTGAATTTAAAATGATCTGCCTGCTTCTACCAGGCTGGTGTCACCACATTCGGTGCTTTATGAGTTTTACAGTACTTTTATTACAGAGATGTTGAGGAAATGTTAAATTGTGTTTTTTGAAAAATAAAAGATATCTAATACTTAGTCTGAAATAGTTTCAGGTTAATATTTTGTTTTGTTTTTAGGTGATTCCGCCTAAGGAGTGGAAGCCGAGACAATGCTATGATGACATTGATAATTTGCTTATCCCAGCACCAATTCAGCAGATGGTCACAGGGCAGTCGGGACTGTTTACTCAGTACAACATCCAGAAAAAAGCCATGACTGTGAAGGAGTTCAGGCAGCTGGCTAACAGTAGCAAGTGAGTCACTGGGGTTTATGTTTGTATTTCTTCCAAAGAGGTTGTGTGTATGGCAAGAAGCCAAGTAGATAGAGAAGATTGTAATGAAAAGAAGTCTCTTTTGTCATCTCTAGTCCTCATCTCTTGTTTCTGTTTTTCAAATGATGGCTTATTCCTTATTTACATTTGCTTATTACTTCTAAGGAAATTGTTCCACAGTTTATTACACCATCTGTAAAATCTAGAAATGTTTTTTTTTTTTTTTTTTAGTTGTCACAATGCAATGCAATGTCCGGATTAAAAATGAATTCCTTTAAGCTTTGTTAGGCAAAATTATATTCATAATTTTGATTAAGACTAAAATTTCATAAGCATTAACAATTTATAAAAGAAAACTATAAGTGAATAGCAAAGCACCTATTGTTATATTGGTTATCTATGATATATAACAAATTCTCAAAATTAGCCTTTTGAGCTATTCAATTTATAAAGTCAGAAACATAGAAGTCATGTAGATTAGTGATTTTAGCTTAGGGTCTCTTCTGAGTTTGTTGTCAAGGTGTTGACTGGGATTGCTGCTGCTTGAGAACTTGGCTGGAAGATTTTTCCCAAGAGTGCTCCTTCAATGAGCCTAAGTTCTTCCTATTTGTCCTTTAAGTGAAACTTTATAAATATGTAGAAACAAGATATATTCCTATTATCTTTATCTTCAGTCCTTCTATATACTCATACATCTTTAGAAACATACCTCTGTTGGTTATTAATATTTACTAATAACAGATCTTTTAGTTAACCAGGGGTTATTTCTAAACCAGCTGTATACCCAAATTACCACAAAGACACTGGGATTTATTTAATTAACCTAGAGCACAATGCTGGGCAATAGTTATTCTATCTTAAACCTCCAAGCCCTCATAATGTCCTACCATTCAGATTTCACCCATTATAGTTGCTTTTAATCAGATCTTAGGTCCAGTCCCTCTCTCCACGTGGTTCTAAGACCTCTCCTGCGGAGTCTCTACTCTTTTTCCTGCTTCCTCACTCTCCTCCTGACCAGGATGTCGCACCCTATCCCTTCCATTGCACAGCATTGGGGCTGGTTGTTTAATTGACAATATAGAGAACAAATGGTGGCATGTTTACACAAACTTGAGACAGATGATGCTTAGCATAAACATCACAATGCAATGTCCATATTGAAACCAGATAGTAAGGTAGAGAAATCAGCATTTAAATGAACAAGGATAAACTGTATACATTCCAAAAGAACATTATACCAACATACCTCAGAGTAAATTGGAGACATTGGTCCATTTTTCTCTTAATTACTTCTGCATGTGTATATAAGTTCAGTATTTTTTTTTTAATTAAGTTTGTTCCTTGACAATTTCATACGTGTATTTAATATATTTTGGTACTTTATTCACTGACCTCTTTTATTTTTCTAACACCCTTGTCAGTCCCTTCTCCTTATAAATCCCTTTCCCATGCACATGCCCTTTTGCTTTGTTATGTGATCTACTGACTTTAATTAAGGATGTCTGAGAGATCATGGATTTATAAATATCAAATGGAATCAGTAGGCTCACCAGTGGGTATACATCTGAAGATAATGATGTCCCCTATCCCTAATCCTTCACTTGTCAATAGATTTCCCCATCCTTTTACTTGCAGTTGACAGGTCTAATATTCTGCAGACCCAGATTAGACAGCCACAGCTGCAGTGAGTTCATGATTAAAATGGCCATGTCCTGTCTAGTGGATGGCTTCTCTGTGTTTCTTCTCTGTCTTCCTGATCCTACATTCTTTCTGCCTTCTCTTTGGCAATGTTCCCTGAATCCTCATATAGTGGCAGTTGGCTTCTTCAAGAGAAATTGAGTAGGTGCATCTTATACTGAATGGGGAGAAGAATGAAGTTTTACTTTTGTTTTTGACACAGGAAGATAGCCTGTCACTATAAAGCATAGGCTGATATTGAATTTGTAGTCCTCTTATCTCAGGCTTCCCAGATCTGGCACTATAGGTATTTGTAACCACACCCAGCAAAAATTTCTTTTTGAAGAGAAGACTGTAAAGAATTTATGCATGTAGTTTTTAAAAAAGATCGATTTATTTATTTATCTATTTATTTATTTATTTATTTATTTACTTACTTATTTATTTATTTATATGCAGTGTTTTGTTTGCAGATATGCCTGAATGCCAGAAGAAGGCACCAGGTATCATTATAGATGGTTGTGAGCCACCATGTGGTTGCTTTGAATTGAACTCAGAACCTTTGGAACATTAGCCAGTGCTCTTAACCTCTGAGCTATCTCTCTAGTTCCTTATGCATGTATTTTCAAACAATCATAACCATGCTTAGTGTTTTTGTTTGTTTGTTTTTATTTTTTCGAGACAGGGTTTCTCCATGTAACTTTGGTTGTCCTGGAACCCACAGAGATCCACCTACCTATGCCTTCCAAGTGCTGGGATTAAAGGGGTACGCCACTACTTCCTGGCCACTTAGTGTTTCTTATTTGGTATTTGATGCCCTAGATAAAAGCCTTAATTTGTAGCTGGAATCATTGCTCAGTTGGTGAAGTGTTTGCCTATCATTCATGAGGCCCTGAGTTTAATTGCCTCATAAAACTGCTGTGGTGACATATGTACCAGGCTCTCTATGTGGAGGCAGAAGGATCATGTAAAGGTTAAAAGTCATATCAAAACCCCCTTAAAACTGACTGTGTCCCAACTCCTGCTCATCTGCCCTCCTCCTGTGAAATCTAAGAATAAAACTCAACCTTAGAACAACAACAATAAAATATCCAATCTGACAGAAACCAAGCCAAACAAAAGATCAGTCAAAAAATGTAATTGTTTAAATTCCTTGCATGGTTGTGAATGGAAACAAATCTTTGGATGAATTTAGCTGGTAAGTTATAAAAGTAAAGTATGTTTGTGTGTGTTTGAGTATATATTTATATATGCATGTTTGTATGTATGTGTTCACGTTTGACATAATAAGCAGATGCTGAAGAGTCCTGTTATTTCTAGTATGGAACATTCTAGTTTGTAAAAATTAAATTTTGAATTTTTAAAAAAAGATGCTAATAGATCTCATTCTTTTAGAGCTTACTGAGAATATGAGACTTTTATTATCTTTTGAGATCATATCATTCAAACTATTAAGAAACTTTATTAATACATGTGTATGTATGTATGTATGTATGTATGTATGTGTATGTGTGTACGTGTGTATTTGAATATGATGTGTTTGTGTGAGAATCCATGTGCCATACAACTGTGTGGTGGTCTTAGTACAACTTTGTGGCATTGGTTCTAGGAATAGAACTCAGGTTCTCAGGCTTCTGAGGCAACTGCCTTTATTCACTGAGGTATCTTCCTGGCCATGTAATTTTTCTATTATTATTGATGTTGTTTTGTAGCTGAGGTTGAAACCAGAATTTTTTGTTTTTGTTTTTGTTTTGTTGTTGTTGTTGTTGTTTTGCTTTTGCTTTTTCAAGACAGGATTTCTCTCTCTATCCTTTGCTGTCCTGGAACTCTGTAGACCAAGCTGGCCTGAACACACAGAGAGCTGCCTGTCTCTGCCTCCTGAGTTCTGGGATTAAAGAAGTGCACCACGATCTCCTGTCTGAACACATGGTTTTTTGATTGTTAGCCAAGTGCTCTACTCTTAAGCTAAATCCCCGAACCTCCTAGAGTGCTTTTACATGTGCTAAGAATGATGTTAACACAACAATGCAGAAGCATTTTGCTTTGTCAATTTATTATTATTAAAAGATGCTGCTCTTCAGTTACTACTAGGTGAGTTAGCTGAGATAAACAGTGCTATATTGACAATTCCAGAAATAGTTTGTACTTAAGAGTAGCATATTTATTAAAACAAAATTAGTATTCTTGGTCCTGTGAGATGGATCAGCAGGCAAAAAAAGTTCTTGCTGTCAAGCCTGACTTCCTGAGTTCTGTTCTGGGATTTACAATGGGGAATGAGAGAATCAATTCCAACAAATTATCCTCTGACTTCCCTGTGACATAATTATGTGAGCACATGCACAATGGAATGAATTTAATAAAAAAATCATATTTTTGGTAAGCATCATATCTTTGTATCATGGGAAGAGTACATGGTGCTTTGTGACTTTTGAAGGAGGTTTGCCCCTTCAAAAAAAAAAGTATTTACAAAAGTAATACATGCTGGCCAGATGTGGGGAATTGTGTTGGCACATACCTTTAGTCTCAGAGCTAGGAATTCAGAGGTAGTCTGGTCTCTGTGAGTTCAAAGCCAGCCTTATATACATAGTCAATGGCAGGCTAGATAGGACTACACAGTGAGACATTTTCTCAGGGAAAAAAAAAAGGTAATGATACATCATTAAAATCTCAGATACAGGAATATGTTCTCCCATATAAAATCATTGTAATATATGATAATTCAGATTATTGGTGAGAGGGCTGGGGATATGATGTTCAGTGGTTGAATTCTTGCCCAACATGCAAAAATTACTGAGTTTGAGCTCCAGCCTTGGTGCATTTATGTGTGGCGATGGAGAATGGGAGGGTTGGGAGAAAGACTACAACTGATAAGAATTGGTCTTTGAAGTCCTTTGTTCTATTATTATCACAGAGAGTGTTTGATCATTATTACTAATAGCCCATTTGATGATTCTGGTATACTGTCTATCTTTTACTTAAAAATTATCTTTTATTTATTTTGTTTGTGTGTGAGGGACACACATTCCATGACATCTCATGTGATGGTCATAGAACAACTTATAGGAGGCAGTTCTCTGCATCAACTACTTGTGTTCTGGGGATTGAACTCACGTGGTTAGCTTTGGTGGCAGCTATCTTAACTCAGTTTTCATTTTTAAAGAACATAAATTTACTAGGGATTAATTTTTATTGGTGTGTCTGTTTATCAAACTGGGATGGTTTGATTATAGATTGATTCTTTTTCTCTGAAAATTACCATGCACATGACATTGTCTGGTTTGTTTATCACTGTATACAGTGTAACC